GAAACAAAAAAATTTGGTTTAATAAATCGAATTATACTTCATGTTTAAAATAAGGCTTAAAAACATTTAAGTAAAAAAAATTGCTGGTTTTTATTAGCATTTTTATAGTGTTTGAAAAAAATAACTAATAAAAAAGAATTAACTAATAATATATTAATTAATAATTATTAGAATTAATAATAATAATAATAATAATAATTAATTCTTTTTCATTAGTTTTTTTTTTCAAACAGTATAAAAATGCAAACAAAAGTCAGGAATTTTTTTCTCTAACGTTTTTAAGCCTTATTTTAAACATAAACAGAGATAAAAACAAACTTTTCAACTTTTCGCTTTTACGACCTTGTTAAAATTTTCCACGCAGAGATTTATTTAAAGTAAATTAAATTCAAAAAGGTTTTACGTTGAAAGAAAACCTCCGCGCCAAAGAGCAAACCATCTATTCATCTATCTAATAATAAATTTTGTGTGACGTTCTTTATGATAAAAACATTACTTTTAAGAATTGCTAAAAAAAATGCTAAGCAAGAAAAAAAGTAATTAAGCAACCAAAAAAAAACAAATCGCGAAAAGATTTTTTTTAAGAAAAAACTAATCACGAAAGTGTGAAAAGCAATCGCGATCGCGACTTTAATCACGACTTTTTTTTACTTGAAAATCGAAGTAGATATTCTAAAGTTGTTGTGATGTGCTAATGTGATTTTTAACGACTAACTAGTTTCAATGGTAAAAAAATAAAATCAAAATGGAGTTGTTTTTCAGTGATTTCGGCAATTGCTTTTTGTTAGCCTGCATTTATTATTACAATTTAGTGAAAAAGAAAAAAAAGTTACATTTTTTTTTTATGCTCTTTCATATGAGATCATATGTTAGGAGCACTTAGGGATCCCTTTAAATGCTTACAAATTGCCAGTTAAGAAATGGTCAGCAAGATTACCAGCTGACAAGCAAAAAATCAAAATGCAAAAGAAAAAAATTCTAATTGCTTTTCAAGAGAAGGCGGGACTGATTGTCGATAGGCCTTAGGCTGGCGGCTCAGGAGCATCTAATGATAGTAACACCTCTAGAAGAGCCTTTCCAAATGAACAACTGTTTTCTGAAATCACAGGACTCGATTTTGAACTTATAAAAATGTTCCATGTTGTTCTGACTTGTATTTCATGTGGTTTTGAGTTTGATGCAGTTTTAATCAGGGAATACTGTACACATACAGCTAGGTTTTACGTGGGTATTATATGACGCAGAGCATTCACAAAATGCTAATTCATGCTCCCAGTGTTGTTGATTACATGACATTACCAATTGGGCTCTTAAGTGAAGAATCTATAGAGGCTCGGAATAAAGATTTTAAAAAGTATCGTGAGCATTTTACACGCAAGTGTGACCGTATCAAATATAATGAAGATTTATTTAAGCGATTATTTTCTTCTGGTGATCCAGTAATTTCTTCACTAAGAACAATAGTTAGTACTAAAAAGAAGGTTTTGCCAGAAGGTGTTCTGCAACTGTTAAAAACAGTGTTTAGTTGTTCTTTTTATGGAATTTTACAGGCTAATTTTTGGTTTTTTGCTTTAGTTATTATTAAAGTTTAAATTTATGCATTATAAATTAAAATTGTTAGTATTCTATAATTAACATAAATTAAAAATTTCCCACATACATTTATTTGGAACACCAGAGCATTAAAAATCCTATTTTTTTAATAATTTTCAGTAAATAATTCAAGGATTTGTATAAAATTGACTGTCGCTATAAAAATATATAAGATGTTGCTATGCATAATAAGGTATCCATAGCAACAAAACTAAATATCATAATATAAAACGCATACCTCGTATTGGTACTCTTACCAAATTTAGTGTGTATGACACTGTAATGAACTAATAAAAAGATTGACCTCTTGATTAAGGCTTTATTTAACAATAATTGTACTAATCTAAAGATACAAGAAAATAGGCACATAAAACAAATAGTTCAATAACAAAAAATAGAAAACACAACAATCTTCCCATCTATGTAGAAAAAGGCCCATAAACTAGTTTTGTCATTTTAAAATATAGTCATCATATTTTACAGGAGCTTTACAAGCTCTGGCAGAACGTCGTAATACATCAGCAAACGGCTCAGTTACTGGCTCATCTACCCTAACTCTGATTTCCGATGCAATTTCAGGTGAGGGGTCTTTATTTACATCAAGTACTTTCGCAGTTACATTCTCACTAGACTCATTGATACTATTCTCATTGATATCATTAAACTTTTCTTTTGGGGCAGGATACGGTGCAAGATCTTGAAGTGAAGCAGTTGACTCTCGTCCATCAGGGTAACGAATATTAGCATATGTTGGATTTACATCCACTGATTCAACCTTATCCACGAGATTATCGTTCTTGTTTGTACGCACAAAACGTCTTAGAAAAATTGGGCCAGGAGTTAACCATGAGGGTAACGAAGTTCCGGATGACGAGCGCCTAGGAAAACTGAATAACCTCTCATGGGGTGTACAATTAGTTGCAGTTGAAAGTAGCGAACGGAGTGAGTGGAGAGCGTCTGATAGAACAATTTCCCAATTTCTAACATCTAGGTTGTGGGTTTTTAGTGCCAAACAAATATTTTTCCAGATCAAGCCATTATATCTCTCAACTTGTCCATTACTGATAGGATGATATGGGGTAGAATTACTAGTTGCAATTCCTTTCTGAGTAAGGTAAGATTTTAGTTCATTAGATATGAAAGATGAGCCTCTGTCGGAATGAATGTACGTTGGAAAACCACAAAAGGAGAATATTTGGTCTAAACACTTCACAACAGTTGTTGAACTAATATCAGGACATGGGAAAGCAAATGGATACCGAGAATATTCATCAATGACTGTAAACAGATATTTATTTCTAGAATTAGATGGTAATGGTCCTTTAAAATCTATACTTAGGCGATCCATTGGACGTATTGACTTGATTAACTCACAGACATTTGAGGATTGATAAAACTTTGGTTTCAATTCTGAACAAATCTGGCAGTTAGAACAAACTCTCTTGACCTCTTCTGTAGAAAAAGGTAAATTTTTAACTTTAACAAAGTGAAGCATACGAGTAACCCCTGGGTTACATAGACAGCTATGTATACCACTTAGGTTTGTATGAGATTGGGTTGTACCACAAAAAGCACGTGTGAGTGCATCAGGGACGATATTATCGCTTCCAGGACGATACGATATAGTATAACTAAGCTCTGCTAACTCCATCCTCCAGCACTGAATCTTACTATTTTTAATCTTTGTTTTCTTTCGGTTATCAAACATAAAAGCTACAGAACGCTGATCAGTAATTAACTTAAATTGATTCCGTAACAGTAAATGTCGCCATTTTTAAACGGCTTCAATAATAGCCACAGCTTCTTTTTCTACTGATGGGTAATTGATTTCACTTTTGCCTAATGTTCGAGACATAAAGGCAACGGGACGACCATTTTGATTCAAAGTAGCTGATACGGCTACATCTGATGCATCACATTCAACAACAAAAGGTAAGCTCTCATCAATAGAACTCAAAGTGGCAGCATGAAGTTCTCTTTTAAGAAATTGAAATGCTTCAAGTGCCTCACTATTGATAGGAAAGAATTTAACATTAATTAAAGGCCGAACTTTATTAGCAAACGAAGGTATCCACTTTGAATAGTAAGAAAACATACCCAAAGTTCGCCGAAGTGATAAAATGTTAGAAGGAGGAGGTAGTAAGTCTAAAGGACGTAATCGCTCAGAATCTGGTTTTATGTTGTTATGACTAACGCAATAACCAAGAATGTTTATAGAAGAAGCTGAAATAACCGATTTTGATTCATTTAAAGTTAGACCCCAACGTTGCGAAGCGTCTTGAAACCGCAGACAATTTTTATCATGATGTGCCTGATCATAACCACCAATGGTTATATTGTCAAGATATGGAAAAGTGTCATGTAACTTTTCTTCTTCAACAAACTTGTCCATAGACATTTGGAACATAGACACACCATTAGTAACTCCAAATGGAATCCTGCAAAATTGAAATAGTTTTCCATTTGCCTCAAATGCTGTATACTTTTTGTCTGAAGTTTTAATAGGGATTTGGTGGTAAGCACTTTTCAAGTCAAATGTAGAGAATACTTTGTACTTTGCAAGTCCATTTATCATATCATCTATTCTGGGAAGAGGATATGCATCTAACTCAGTGTAAAGGTTAACTGTTTGAGAGTAATCAATACAAAGTCTTTTTTTGTTAGATTTTGTAAGATCCTTTACGACCACTACCTGGGCTCTCCATGGTGAGAAACATGGCTCAATTATACCATCTGATAATAACTGTAGTATTTCACTTTCAATAAAGCTTCGATCATCATTATTATATCTTCTTGATTTTGTAGCTATTGGTTGAGTTTTGTCTGAAATGCTTGTAAACAAGGATGGTATTTTTATTTTTGCCATTAGCAGTGCACATAGGTTACTTTCCTTTGTGACAATTAAGTCTTCTTTTTCTCCACTGAGTGGGAATATTAAATTTTTGTGTAGTTTTTGGAAGTCGTAACCAAGTATGATATCACTACAAAGATTTTCTAAGACACCAAATTGAACATTATTATAAAATAAACCATTTCCTTCAAGATTAACCGAACAACAGCCCACTAATCCAGACTACATTGTTGTGAGGGCCATCAAAATTTTCTTTTTACTGGGTAACGTTTTAATTTTTAAAGTCTCGATAATTCTCTTGCTTATAAAATTATCTGAGCTACAGGAATCGATCAGTGCAATTAACGGTTCATCATTAATTCTGACAATAACATCTGCATGAGAGAGACTCATCGGACAACCACTTGAAACAGTACACAAACTTGGTTTATGTATTGCAGCTGAAACACTGTGGGTTATATTCATCGGTCTGCCAAGACAAACTTTGGAAAAATGACCTTTTTTCCACATTTAAAACAGGTTACATTTGAGCTGGACGATTTTTTCTAGCAGAGGTTTAATTACGTTGGTTGTGAGATGGATTACCACAATAAATGCATTTTGTTTGAGGATTAATAGTCATAGCATTAAGTGCTGCTGACGGTTCTTCTGGTAATTTTATAGCGGCAGCAATATTTAAATTTGAGGAAAAGGAAGATGTTTTCTGCATATAAGAATCTGAGTTTCTTTGTGCAATGTCAAGAGAACGAGCTTGGTAAAATGCTGATTGCAAATTCAATGTTGAATTTTCAAGAAGTCGTTGACGAATGTAATTCGAATTTATTCCAGAAATAAAAGCATCTCTTATTTGTTCCTCTCGATATTGTTCAGCTGAAACATCCTTGTAATTACAGTTTTTACTGAGTTTACGTAGTTCCTGAAGAAAGTCTTCTAAGGATTCACTCGATGTTTGATGTCTTATAAGTAATTGATGCCTTGCAAAAATTTCATTAGGGGTTTTTATATATAAGTTTTCTAGGGTTTCAATTACACTTTCATAGGAATCACACTCTTCAATGTAATCATAAACATTTGATGAAACAAAATTAATGATAGAGCGAAATTTGTCTGGAGCATCCTCTCCACAATCTTCAATGAAATTTTCAAATGTTCGTTTCCAATGCTTCCATTCTTTTGAAGCAGTTGGTGCATTATGATCAAGATCAAGCCTCGTCGGTTTTAAGATCTTTGACATTTCCCAATAATTTTATATGTTTGTTAAATAAATTGTAATGAACTAATAAAAAGATTGACCTCTTGATTAAGACTTTATTTAACAATAATTGTACTAATCCAAAGATACAAGAAAATAGACACATATATAAAACAAATAGTTCAATAACAAAAAAAAGAAAACACAACGGACACACAAAAACAACTACAAGTAGGTTTATGCCAAAATAAGTATCCATAGCAACAATAAAAAAAAACCACCTTTATAAGAAGCGCAGACCTTACACTGGTGCTCATGCAAAATTTAGTGTATGTACATATACACATAACAAATCTGCAACTATAAAAAGTAGGTCGTTGCTCGGTATCCATAGCAACAAAATAAAAAATAACATCTTAATATGAGGCGCAAACCTTACACTGGTGCTAATGCCAAATTTAGTGTATATAGCACACAAAACAAATCTGCAACTACAAAAAGTAGATTGTTGCTATGCAAAAAATAAGTATCCATTGCAACTAAATAAAAAATAACACCTTCATAAGAAGCTCTAACCTTATATTAGTACTCATCCCAAATATAGTGACTGTAGCACTAATAATAAATTAGTTATTAATTTTGTCTCAAAATTGGCCATTCTGGCCTACTGTGCAATGGTTAAAAAAATTGAATTATACATTTAAAATTTTAAGACCAATATAGTGAAAGATGCAATACTGCAGATTACAATTTAACTAGCTAGTAAATAGTACATTATATAAATTTGATATACTGCGGTTTCAGTCAGATGCACTTTCTTCTTTGTCTGCTTCTTCTTCCTTATCGATCTCTTCTTCTTCGTCTGCCTCTTCTTCCTTGTCGACCTCTTCTTCTTCGTCTACGTCTTTTTCATTATCTGTCTCTTCTTCTTTTATCACTCTCCTCTTCTTCAACTTGCTTATTTATTTGGTTAGTTATTTACTCAAATTTATGGACTTATGGCAAATCTGTTTTTTTCATTGCTTTAGCAGAGGCCGCTATAAGAGCTTTTCAATATGAGTAATTTTTGATAAATTAGACAAAGTACAATGCGCTTTCTTATCGCAGCATTCGTACTTTGGACCTTTATATAAGAGATTTATTTATAACAGTATTTTTATATTCTCTTTGATCCGGCACCGGCAATAACCTTCATGATGAATTTATATCTGTTTATATATGTTCAAATATTTTTGCGCCTGCCAATTCGACGAACAATTATAAAAATACAAAACTCAGTTTATTAAAGGTAAAGTCTTAAAAAATCATTATTTTATCTTTTTTGTGGTGTTTTTTGGGGAAGTTTGCAAAATAAAATGTGTGTATCTGATTAGAATAAAAAATTCGTTTCTATTGAAATGAAAGTGATTCAAAAACCACTAAATGCATTAACAACTCTCGACTTTAAAATTTAAAAAAAATCATAAAAAAATGATTTTTTACAAAAACAAAACAAAAAATTTATACCAAAAAAGTAAATTTAACCAGGCAAAGTGACTTAGAAGAAGAAAAACTTGAAAGGAGAAAAACTTGGTTGAAGAAGAATAGAGTGATAACGAAAAAAAGACCAACAAGGAAGAAGAGGCAGACGAAGAAGAAAGTGATTTTTTTTTGTGGATTATTACAAGGCTTGAATAATAGACTTGATAAAAAGTCAGTGGTTAATTTGGGAAAAAAGAAGTAGTGGAAACTGTAGACAGGGTCCTAGACAAGGTGTAGTTTATAAGGAGAGAAATGGGAGAGGTTATTAGGGAGGGAAGGGGTTCTTATGGGGGGAACGAGGCCTCTATACACCAGTTAGGGGATTTAAGAAGCGCTGTTAGCTCCCCCAGCGGGGTCTTAGGCAAAACCCCAGCCGCTAACGCATTTTACGTAGTCTTTAGGGTATTTTGTGGCTTCTCATGCCTCTGAAACGCGTACTTTTATTTTAATTTTGCCACTATGAAAAATCATTTTTTTTATTTCTATGAACAAATGACCAAGTATGCCATTTTTGTTATTTTGGTATTTATAAATTATAAATTAACAAACAAGGAACAAAGCGCATGTTGCACCTTGTTCCTTGTTTATTAAATTATATATCAAGCTCAATGTTGAGAAAAAAAGTAAACAATCTATTTATTACAGATGAAAGTACATACTCTACACACTTTCTGATACAATTTCCAAACATAGTTTAGCTTCTGCTTCCTAGTACCACTCAAGCCATCACTAAGCTGAGATGATTTTTTACTGTTTACATCTGTAGCTAGATGCCTACCTGCGGCAAACCATATTTTGACATGATTTTGAGGGTTATATAGGTGAAGGGGAGGGCCGTTAAATTTAATAAACAACAAAGCACTTATTGAATTTGTGTTAAGAGAATTCCAAGGAGGCGTTAAAATTAAATTCATCTTACTGAAACCTCGCTCACATTCGGCTGTGCATACAGGAATTAAGCTAACTAGAGTTTTCAATTCTTGAATTGAAGGAGGCGTAGACTTACTGTCCAGGTACTCTCTATATGACCGTACAAGTGATCTCTCGTCCAACTGGAAGCTATTTAAAATAGTGATGTTGATTTGCCTGAGTACTATTATGATTAATATTAATAACTAACATTGTAATTATTAGTAAAATAATATTTTGATAAATGTTATTTTTATATAAATTCATTAATATTATTTTTGTCTTTGCACCATAATCTTATTCATATTATATTTTTTGTATAACTGATTAAGATAGAAAATTCGTTTCTATGGAAATAAATAAAGCGATTCCAATAATACTCAAAAAATTGTTGCTAACCATCGCCAAAATGCATTTTTTTTTTTTTTTTTTTTTAAGTGTAATTTATTTCGCCGTTAAAGAATGTTTACATTGCATATACATATATCAAAACTAATGGCAGGAGCAAGAAGAAGGCACATTTTGCCTTATCGCCGAGCCCCACATATAAAAAAAAAAACTCTACATAAAAGAAACTCTACATAACCGTAACATACAAATGTATATAATATAAATATATAAAATATAGGTAAGAATTAAAACAGAAAGTAACTGAGAAAATTAAGAAATTCAAAATAGCAAATAACTAAGAATTGTCAAAATGCTAGCAACCGCTAAAATGTTTTAAAATCATTTAAACAAAAAGTTTTAAATAAGAATAAAATTTCATAATTAACATTATCACAAGATGAATTTTTTACATCATTACTTTTATTTGATTAAATAAATTTGTTTTTATTTGATTAAATTTTAAAAGAAACATTTTAAGTCAGATAAATTAAGATCCCTGAATAGTAATAATTGTTTTGATTCATTTTTAAATTGTTCTAGTGTAGTCTTGTTTTTGTTGACAATCTCTGGGAATTTTTTCCACAGATAAGGTCCGCGATATTTAATTGAATAGAAGGTTAATTTTAAACTATACTTGAGAAGAATAAAGTTGTTTTCAGAAAACTTTGTTCAATATTTATGATTAATTTTATTAAAATAGGTTTGAAAAATTATTGGGGACAATCCCATTTTTGTTTTAAACATAAACAATAAAACTTGGTGTAAATTGAGTTTATACACATTTAAAGCACCGAGTGCACGTAAAAATGGTTTGCAAGGAGTATTTCTGCAGGCTCCAAACACTATTCTGCATGCATGTTTTTGTTTGTTGTAGATTTTCTTAAGTTTTGTATAGCCAGTACTAGCCCACACAATATTACAGTAAGACAAATAGCTGTGAATAAAAGCAAAATACAATTTTTTCAGGGATGCTACATTTAGAAAAGGTTTAGCCTTATAAATCATTGCGATATTTTTTGAGAGTGTTGTTTCAATACTATTTATATGAGAATACCACAGTAAATTTTCATCCAGTTTTACTCCTAAAAAGTTTACGTTTGTTTCCCTTTCAATATAAGTATTATTAATTATAAGATTTGGTAATTTTATACGTATGTTTTCTGATTTATTTACTTTATGGAAGAGTATATATTTTGTTTTATCCACATTTAATGAAAGTTTGTTACTTACGAACCATTCATTAACTTTACATAACTGTTCATTAACTATTTTAAAAAGTGTTTTAATGTCTCTGTGAGAATAAAAAAGATTGGAATCATCAGCAAACAAAATTAGGTCTAAAAGATTTGTTGCTAGGTATAAGTCATTTATGTACATTAGAAATAAGAGTGGTCCTAAAATTGAGCCCTGAGGAACCCCGCAAGTTATGGAATATGGAACTGTGTTATTTTGATCATAATATAAAAAATGCCTCCGGTTTGTTAGATACCCTTTGAACCAAAGTAAGTTTTTATTGTTCACTCCATAGTTTTCAAGTTTTTTTATTAGAATATTGTGATTTACGGTATCAAAAGCTTTTGACAGATCAATAAAAACTCCTAAAGTAAAACAGTCATTATTAAAGGCGTTAGATATTTGATTAGAAAGTTCAACTATTGCATGTTCTGTGGAATTTTTTTTTTAAAACCAAATTGCTTGCAATACAACATGTCGTTCTCAGTTAGATAATTATATAACCTATTATACATTGTTCTCTCTAGCAATTTTGAAAAGCAAGGTACTATGGATATAGGCCGGTAGTTTAAGATATTTGACTTATCTCCAGATTTAAAAATTGGTGTTATACAGGCAATTTTTAGTTTGTCAGGAACAATACCTGTTTTAAATGAAAGATCAAAAACATGAAATAAAGAAGGTTCAATAATATCAAATACTGATTTGACAATATCAATACTAATTTTATCAAAACCTTCACTTTTTTTACTTTTGAGACTGCTAAATGCAGCACTCAGCTCGCTAAATTTTAAACTAGTTTCATCCATAAGTTTGTCATAAGTTTTTAAGTATGAATCAAAAGGAGTGGAGTTAGATGGAATTTTAGCAGCCAATTTCGGACCAATATTGACAAAGTAGTTGTTTAGTTCTTCAGCTTTAATAGATTTATCACTAACTTTAATAGATTTATAAACTAATTTTCCATTAACCCAGTGGGCACGGAAGTA